CTTAGGCAATGAGAATGGAAATACAGACATTCTAACAAGTACAAGACACCCTGTGGGGATTCAGGACAACGTGAGCAATCTACCTGAGTGACTGGGGAGAAGAAATAAATGTTTACATCTCAAAAAAACGACAGAATTACAAAAATCCAGCTCAGCTCTTGTTTCTGACAGAACTCACTGCACTCCACAGAAGGCCTTGCACAGCCCCTTTGTCATCTGGCTGCAGCATCCAAGGACAGACCACACTGCCCCATCCAGACCACATCACAAACCCAAGCCCAAGAATAAGGGGTTTCAAAACCCTGATCCTCCACTGCCCGAGAAGACCTGGGTTGATCAGCCAAGATTCAGACTCTGCAACTTGTCCATTTGACCATCTAATGCCAGAGGGAAGCAAATTCTAGGAGCAGCTTACACTGGACAAGGTTGGATGAACGAGATGCCCAAAGAATGGCTGCAGACCATAAAAAGAAATCCCTCACACCATCTGTAAGGACTTCACACAGACAATACCAGATCACACTACACAGCTACACCTGATGCCACCAGCAGGAAATACTTCCTCTCTTACTCTACCCAGACCTGCAAATACAGGGGAATCCAAAAAGAAAAACAAAACAAGCAAACAAACAAACAAAAAAATCATAGGGAAAAGGTCTGACCTTGCTGCTCTTTACAGCCCAGTGGGGAAGGAAGGGTGACAGGAAAGGAAGAATCCTGAGTTCTGCCAGTGTGTCCAGTTCACATTGTTTTGGAAAAAAAACCCCAACTTCAAAGTCTACCCAATACTTAAAATAAGATGGGAAGTAGTGGGACTAACCTGGAGTTTACAGGCAGAAGGAGAGGAGGGAAGGGAACAAACAAACCCCTGATTTTCAAGGTCCATCAATTGCTTTGGATCAAGATCTCTCCCTGTTACTCTGGCTCAGGCTTATCAGCCAAGGGACACAGACACCCCACCCACAGTTAACTTAATTGGAATCAGACACACAAATCCACTGGTTAGCTCTAGAAAAAAAAAAAAAATCCCAGGTTGGCCTGGGTGTTATTCCAAAAGGGCATGCCCTCCATTTGCTGCTCTGGAATACCAGCTTCACATGGCTTTAACCATCAGTAACTCCCATGAAAGGGGAGTTGTTGACACTGTTTCTTCCCTAGAAGAAGGACCAGATGTGCAGAACTGCACCACTTACAGCCCACGTGCCCAGCCAGACAGGAAACCAGCCAGGCCACAGACAAGGTCCACACAGTGTGCACAGCCCCTGCCTGACTGACTGGGGCACTGAGGGGCCAGGACTGTGCTCAGCTCTGCACCGACCTCTGGGAGAACACAACACATCTAGCAAAGACCTGGGAGTTCAGCATCACCAGCCCATCACCAGACAAAAGGCTTCCCTCACCAAATAAAGTTCTTTTGATGTTTTGTGACCAAACTGTCACCAGCATTCTGTACCCAACCCACAGACTAGATCCCAAATTAAAATATGCAACAACCACCTCTCCTCTGGGCCATCAGCAGACAGGACAGCAGACATCCAGCACCCAGTGCCAGCCCACGCCAGTGAGCCATGGCAGCAGCTCCAGCAGCAGCAGTTACCCTGCCCTTTTATTCCTCTGACTCCTGAAGAAGAAGGATACATGCCACAGCCAGCCGGGCACATACTCAGTGCCCTTGGACACCACAATTTTACCACAATTGCTCCTTGAACTGGGAGCAATTCCCAACCATGTGCTTTCTGCCCCTGCAATAAGTGCTGGAAGAACAAGCAGCTCCATCCCATCCTGGAGGAACCTGAGCACAAAACACAACTCGGTGGGCAGCCTCAACTGCAAACTTTGACTGAAGTTTTACCTGCTCCTGTTTCATACAGGGCTCTGCACGACAAAGCATCTAAATTTCTGCCAGTAAGTCACACAAGGATATTTTCATGGCCAAGGAGCTTCTCTGTGAACAGAGGCTGCTGTCCTTTTGCTCTTCGGGTTTGTTTTGGTTTTTAAATAAATCCCTAAGGCAGAGGGGTGAGGGAGGAAATTGCTTACATGTGAAAATATCTAATGAACATGCTAAGTCAGACAAAGATTCTCCAACCTAATAGAGCAGGTAATATCAGAACTGGCAGGCTATGTATAGTAAAAAGACAAATTATTAATAGTCTTCAGTATTCAAAAGGGGGTACAAAACTACTGCCACCCCATCAGTGCTGCTTTTTAAGGATTTTTTAAGTCAGCAGAGTTATAAATGATCTACTGTTACAGAGTGCCTTCCAGCACTTGGAAACAAGACAGATTTTTATCAAGGAACAGCAGCCACAGGAGTACAGTCTTTTCATCTCGCTGCTAGCCATACACCAGAGCCCCAACGAGCTAAACCCTGCAGCAAATTTCCTAAAACAATGGCTTCAAGTCGTCCTGGACTTCCCAAGGAGAGCAGGATTACACATCATGGCATAATCCACTGGAGGCAATCAGCAGGATTTTCCGAGAGGGTCATTCTAAGAAAATCAGGGAAGAATGCTCGGCTGTTACAACCTGCCACTGCTTGCTCAGGAACCAATTTGCATCACCAGAGAGGTGTCAAACCATGGAGATGCAGTTTAAAAAGCCCAAAAGAAAGGGTTTTACTGGGCTGTGGTTTGAAAGGGGCAAAGAGCAATTCCTGTGGACAGGAGGGGGAAGGAACACGCACAAGTGAGTGAGTGTGACCCGCAGACCACCACGGGCACAGACCTGGCAAGGGCAGAGCCAGCACACATGAGCCCACTGAAGAGTTAATCGTGCTGAGGAGGGTCAAAAGGGCTCCTGAAGGATGGAGATGGATGGAGGGAGGGAAGCAGAATGAGGAATGCACCCCCAGCCCTGCTCCCACCTCAGCACCCATCACTGCCAGGAAAGTCACAAAAAAACAAATCCCATTTTGCTAAAAGGAAGATTACTTGGTGTGGGGGGGAAAAAACCCCAAACAAATTCTCCCCTTGCACCTAGAGAGAGACAGAGACATTTCATTAAATGCCATTAATCTCCACAGACCCAAGCATTAGCTAGTTAATTAGACTAAAGTACAGTCACATTTTAACGCTGAGCATTTGCTATTCAACTGGGATAAATGAACAGCTAAAGTCCAAAACCTTAATTCAGTATCTAATTAAAAAACAAAAAACAAAATATCCAGATTATGAAATGTTGGCCAGAATGACACATCATAATAGATGTAAAATCTGTTCTTTATTGCATCTGATTTTCTCCAGTTTCCAAATAGGGCTGTTTTCTACCTTCAGATTTTTTTCAAATGCCCCATAGACATCCCAACACTTAGAAAGGACAAGTGTGTAAAAAGCAGCAACAGACACTGCTGACCTCTCCAGAGAGAGCAAGATCCTGCCAGGAGTGGCATCCAGCCTACGTTCCAGCATTTGCCCCACACTTGAAAGATGTCTGTTACCAAAAACCAAGGGAAAAAAAAAACACCCTATGCAGAGGAAAACAAAATCCCCTTTGTAAAAACAACCTGATTTCGCATTCTTTAACCCGAAAATTTAACTCACTAATATCTTCCACGTAAGACATGCCCTGGTTTTTTTAATTGTTAGAGAAGAATCACATGGGACAGCTTAATGCTCTGTTATAAGCTTTATAAACTTCTCCAAATAACACTGTAGAAACAGATAACTGGTAATTGAAGACAGTTTAAAATGTAAATAAGCCTTTAAAAGGTATTGGGAAGGGGGAGAGGAACATCAGTCACTGCACAAGACCAAAATTCTGGTAACTTTACATCACATCTTACAGACAGAATCAATCCAACAACATAATCCAGAAGCCACGAGCCCCACACACTATAAACTCTTTGCTCAGTGCAGAAACAAGCCAGGCACATCATTATTTACCAGTTAGTTATTAGATATGCCCTAGGAAGAAAAGAACCTCTAAACATCTCCCCACATTAGTCTGGTTTAAAATTCTGTGAGTAGGCTGTTGGAGTTTGCTCTCTTTTTTTTTTTTCTTTTCAAGAACTCATTCCCACCAGCTTTAGACCACTTTTCCTTGCTGACTCGCATCCACAAATCTGCAGCCTTGCCTTTCCATTTTTTTAATCAGAAGACTGAAGTAGCCCAAGGTGACTAGAGCATATACAAGTGCCATAGACCAGTTGAATTGAGTTTTTCCAACGGACTCTCAAAAACAAAGACAACGACAAAAGTTTTCTTTCAGCCCCTGGTTTTCAAAATTCACACACTGCACGTTTGGCTTCGGAACTGCTTTGTTTTCATTGGGCACAGCCTAAAGGGCAGCAACCACTCCTATTGCACGGGCAGCGCCTCCAGGAGCGATGGCACGATGGCACACAGTGGGTTTGGAGGCAGCACGCAGGCAGAAGTGTCTCTGCCTATCCCTGTCCCTGCGTGGAGACTGGTCACACCATGGCCAGGTCACTGCTCCAGCCTGACCAGCTGGACACTCAGACCTCATTGTCCCTCTGCTCTTGCAAAAGAATACCCTGTGGCCCCAAGAGCTCAGGGCCTCATCAGAAACTTGTTATCCAGCGCTCACTGGTCTCCACACACAACTCAAGTCATACAAAAGAAAATTCCCAAACAATGAAGGCAGAGATATATTCCCATCCACTACAACCATTACAACCACAGAACTGAAAGCTCAGCTCAAAACAAGCCTGAAGTCTGCACTTAATCCGAACACTCTCCACAAACACCCCGCAGAACTCGCTGTGTGGAACAGCCCCACGGACACGGGGCTGCGGATCCCGACGGATCCGGGACCGGCTCTGCCCTCCGGCCGCCCCGACCACCCAGCTCTGCACGGACACGGTCAAACACGGCAGTACAGGGCTCTCCCCTGTGCCACAGCCACTCGCTGATCCCCTCAGACGCCGAGCACTCCGGCTTTAAAAGCTTTCATTGCCAATTCCCCGGCTGAAACCCGAACTGCCTGGCAACAATGACTCTCTGTGTGCCTAAAATCCTATTATCGATCCTCCTACTTACCTTGGGCTGTGCTCGTCGGGGAAACGCAACTTTAGGGTCAATCTGAGGAAAAAGAAAGGGGAAATCAACAAGATAGCTTTGGATGTCATTGCAGAGTATTTTGGTTTTAAATCACTGAATTATTAATCCCTCATTTCTCAGGCTTGTAGTTCAGCACACCGAGTCATCCAGAACCACTCTGGAACCGATGGGTCACAGACTGGGTTTTCTGGGGAGGGAGATGGGAAGAGAGGAAGAAAACAACTCTTCTGCACACCTCTGTCATCTTCTGGGAAACGATCCCCACTGGTGCTCGGGGAGCTCTGGATTAGTCTCTGGGTGCTGCCTCTACCACCAAAACTGCGTGTTAGGGATTATCTGCATGCTCTGGAGGTTGCACAGGAAGAGGGCCAGCATTCCTGACCAACATCTTAACTTGCTGGGTTTGACACCTGCACCTTCCCACGGTTGGGTTGGGGGTTACAGGGTTTTTTTCTGCTTTGTTTTCTCAACTGATGAGCAACACCACACTAAAAAAGGAAAGTCAAAACCAAAGTCAAACTATTCACATTTCAATTATTAAAACTAAAGTATCAGAAGGACTAGATGCTCCTTCGTAACTACATGCCAAATTGATCTGGTTGCCAGCTCTCCAAGAATATAAGTGAGCAATGGAGAACCAAAAAGGGGGTATTTATGGGATAGGGTGGGAAGAGAGCAGAGGAAGACACAAACACGGGCAGGTTTTGTGTATGTGACACAAACAGGCACTTACACCAGAAGAAAACACGTTCCTAGAAAAGGTTTTCCATGAAGGAGTTACGTCACCACAGACACAAAAAGGAAGGGGGGAAAAAAAAAATCCTTGCTCTACCCCACACTCCCTTAAGATGCAGTCGACCCCCACTGTGCTGCATCCATTACAGAGTGTGCCCACTCTGCAACTCCCAAACGCTCCTTCTGCACTTTTACACACAACTTCCACACGGGTCATCTTTAAAAGGGGACTCCTCTCTCCCATGACAAAATGACTTAAAACCAAAAAGACACCACCACAGATGCATGGCTGGATGTAAATAAACATATTAACAACAGCCCAGTTTAAACTGCAATAAAATGCCTGCGTGCTGCTGGTTTCACCTCTGGCTCTCAGCAGCACCTGCATGCAGACATGTTCTACAGAATCTGGGAAGGATGTTTGGAAGTACTAAATCCTACCTGAACTGTGCAACCTGGGACTGCTTTCAGTGTTGTCTGTGTAACTAACTGATGACACTAATGTGTTAAGCATATTCAGAAATAGAGGCTTTCTTTCAGAGTTTGGGTTTGGTTTTTGTTGGGTTTTCTCCCCTCGAGCTAACCTTGACAAGGAAAAGGGAGACATTTCCCTTTGGTACTGTTATTCTGTGGTGATAAATATTCCTGGCACTGCTAAATAACCATGGGCTTCTCCTAAAAAGCAGTTTTACTCAATTAATTTGTCCAAATGGGAAATATCGCAAACATTTCATGTGCAACTGATAAACTGATTTGTCTCCATCAGATACAAACGTAGCATCTGTTTTAAGACACACCTGAGAAATGAGTGATTACATGCCACTTTATTGTTCAAAAAGCATAAAAAGTAAAATTATTTATCTAGAAAGCTAACCTTTTCATAGAGATTAACATTATCTACAAATATATTCAGCACTGACTAGGCATTTGTCTACTGGGGAAATACAACAGGTACGGATTTTCCACAGCAGTACCCAAAGGTGAAGGCAAATATGCACATTCCTGTTTGTTTCAAGAGCACAGGTTTTCTCACCAAAGTATAACAGACCCACCAGAAGGACATCACTGCAAAGTCCCTCTGGTTAAAAGCAGGGAGAGCCATTAAACTCCAAAGCAACACATTCATTTTGAAGGTCAGTTCAAAGAGCATGAAGTCCTTTGCACCACAGCGACAGATTTTCTTAAAGAACTGAATTTTCCTTCCCCAAACCTTTCAAATAAACACCATCAGCCTTTGAAGACAAATACTAGCAATGAATGTGGCAAATCCATACCTTTTGCATAACCCTGTCAACTATTTAAACAACAACCAAAAAGAAAAAATTAAATAAAAAAAAAGAAAACAAAAAACAAAGTTCTACCAAAAAAAAAATTAGTTAGTTAGGTACAATTCTACTTACTGTATCTACAAGTCCTCTAGGAAATGACTATAATACTATTTCTGATATGAATGGCCATTACCTAAACAAAGCTTTAAACGTAACTGTAAACAAGAGCGACGTTTCCATGCCAATACCCAACCGATCTGCCTCCTGTGCTGAACGTTGAAACAGAGTCAAATGCCTTGTTATACTGCACAACAGTTACTACAATACTCTACAAATACACGCCTGAAAGGACCTGCCTGGCTCTGTGTTTGTTTCTGATTCTAAGGGCAATTTCATATTTGGATTGATTCAATCATTATCACACAACCAAACTGAGGGAATTTGTCCTGGTGAAGCTCTTTACCCCTCCCCCAGAGAAGAGCAAATTAATACATTGCAGGGACTAGACTATGATACAGGAAAAAAGCTGGGGGAGGACCTAATTATAGTCAGAAATATGACAGGGTGTCCTCTCATGATTTATTTTTTTTAAAAAACCCTCGTTGAAGATACTGTTTGCCTTTGTTCTTCTTATCTAAATTTATCTTTAAAAACACATAGAGCATATAGCTGTACATGAAAAGTCTGGTGAGTTTAATCTCAGGAGCACGGTTGAATCAGTTATCTTACCATATCTGATTAAACCTAAAATCAAATTATTAAGGCATGTGAAAGCATGGGCTTCGTGCTCAGACAAGCCCAGCAGAATCTGCAGGTCGAATTAAAACACTAGATTCCACCTGCTTCTAGGAGAGCTTTGGGCTTTTTGTTTCCATATAAATTGCATTTTTTAAAAATCATGCACTCATGTTTGCTCCCTGCTCCTCCTATTCTTCATTTAACTATAATCTTGCACACACAGGCACCCACGAGATGTTGCAGCACCGAGACAGGATTCCTCCTAACACCACGCTCAGGCTAAAATAAAACCTTTAAGCCCCAGAACGCAGCCTATAAAACCCAGTTACAGTAAGGAACGCGCTCGATCCGTCCAGCAGAACCTCTGCAGTTCCACCAGCACGAGCCTTCCCTTCCCAAAACACAACCCCCTCCGGAGCCAGCAGCACCAGAGCAGTGATGACCTCTACCAGTGTCCTTCCCCCCTCCCCTCCCAGGTCTGCCGAGGCTGAAACTACAACAAAGTAGGAGGCACAAAACTTCATCTTTTTGCGTGGCCTCGATCACAGGGAGAAAACAGGGCCCGGAGCTGCACTCTCTGGATACCTTTTGTTTGACCCAATACCGAAAATGCCGTACTGGGGCAAGGGGAAACTCAGGGGGGGAATTTTTTTTATTTTTTTTATTTTTTTTAAAAAAAGCAAATGTGATGTTCAGTTAAAGAAAAAAAAAATAGATCAGCTGAATCTCATGAGCATTTTTTTCCTTATGTTATGCACTGGAGATTGAGCACAGCAAAAAGCTCTGGAGAAACAACAACACATTAGGACTCGCGCTTCTCTATCACAGCCACTCTCCACCTCTCGCAGAGCTTCCCATAAATTAACGCGTGCGTTTCGTAAGGGCCCTGCCATCACAGGTGAGGGGACCTCTCCAAAAAATGACTTTGGGAAATGACACGAGCAGCAGCTTTCACGGTTTGACAGTAAGTCACTCCCACCTTGAAACGCGTGCACCAATATATAAATAATCAATCAAAAGAAGCACAAAGTTCCCTGCAGAAAGCATTCTGCAGCCCAACACCGAAAAAAAAAAAAGTTGGATTTTACTCCTCAGCTTTTTCAATGTCACCGCTCAATAAAATATAAGGCCGGGGGAGGAGCCAGCGGTCGGTACGGGGGAATTCGGGCTTAGAAAAAAAAAAAAAAAAAAGTTGCCGCTTTTTGCAAGTTAAAGGCAGAGCCTAGAAAAAAATAAAAGGGAAAACCCCCAGCCACGCAAGGTCCCGGTTCAATGACAGCCTGACAGCGGCCCGAGCGGGGCTCGGTGCGCCCGGGTCGCGTCCCCGCCGTGCCGGGAAGGGCGGGCGGGAGCCCCTCCACGACCTACCGTCTTGGAGTCCAGCTCGTGGTGCGGCTGAGCCAGGACTTTGTCTACACTCGCCGGATCCGCGAACGTAACGAACCCGAAGCCTCTGCGAGAGACAAAGAGCGAGGGGATGGGGGGGGGGGGGGGGGATGATGAGAATTAGAGGCGAGGGGAGAAGTCATAAAAATAAACCGCGGTGTCGTCCCCCCCCACTCCCTTCCCCGCAGCCCCCGGGTGCGGGGGGCGGGCGGGCGGCGGCGGCCGCGACCCCCGGCCCCGCTCCGGCTCCACCGGCCGCTTTGTTTCCTGCTCCGGACCGGAGGGATGCGGGCGGGGAGAGCCCTCCCGCAGCGCCCCGCGCGCGGGGTGGGATGCGGGGCTGGGGTTTCGGGGTGGGATTTTGGGGGGTGCGGGTCCACCCGCCCCGACGGCAACTCGCGAAGTTTGTCAACCCGAGCGGGGTGGGCGGCGGTTTTACCTGGAGCGCTTGGTGGTGGGGTCCCGCATGACCATACACTCCCTAATTTCTCCGAATTTGCTAAAATAGTCTCTAAGGCTGTCTGCGGAGAAAGAGCAGAGAGGGAGAGGAGGGTCAGGGCTGGGGGGGCGCAGGCAGGGCCCGGCGCGGCGGGACGCGGCCCACGCGGGGCGGGACGCGCGTGGGGAAGGGGCGGCGGGGGGGTTACCTGGTGAGGTTTGCCAGCTGAGGCCGCCGATGAACATCTTGCTGGAGGAAGAGAGCAGAGCGGAGTTGAGCGCCGGTGCGGGATCGGCCATTTTGACGGGGCAGCTCCCGGCGGGGCGGAGGGGCGCGGAGCGGAGCGGGGCGGGCCCGCCTCGCCGCCCCCCGCCGCCCCGCTCCGCGCCCCCGCCGCCCCGCCGACTTACCCGGGGTCGTGCTGCGCCTCTCCGGGGCTCCCCGAGGTAGCCTGGCTCCCGTCCGCCTCCATGGCCGCGCCGAGCGAGAGCCCCTGAGAGAACCCCCCCCGCCCGCCCAACCCGCCCCCCCCGGCCCGGCTCCGGCTCGGTTCGCTCCGCTTGCTGTGCCCCTTTTTTCCCTTCCCCCCTCCTCCTCCTCCTCCTCCTCCTCCCTCCGCTACCGGAGGATCTCACTGGAGAGGCGCTGGGGCAGCAGCCAGATCCGTCACACGTGGGATCGGCTTAGCTCAGCGCCGCGCCGGCGCTCCCTCCCCCCCCGCCGCCATCCTCCCCTCCCCTCCCTCCATCCCGCCCCTCCCTCCCCTCCCTCCTCCCTCCCGGGGGCGGGGCCGCCGCCGGCGCGTGGCCCTGTGTGACGTCACCGTGACGTCACCGCGCCCTCTCCGCGCGCCGCCCGCCTGCGCCCCGCGCGTGTCCGGGACCCGCCGGTCCCTCACAACCCCCCCCCCCCCCCCTCACCGCCCCCCCCCGTCCCTCACAGCCCGCCCGGCTCCCCTGGGGCTGCTCCGCTCCCTCACACCCCGCTCCCTCACAGCCCGCCCGGCTCCCCTGGGGCTGCTCCGGGTCCCCGCGACCGAGGGGTGCCTCTTGCACTGAAAGTGGCGCCTCCCCGCCGTCCCCCGCTGCTCTGCTCCCCAGACGGGTTGTTGGACAATAATTCCAGGGGCTGTTGGGAAGCGCCCGTTGGGTGCCCAGGAAAGGGAAATTAAGTTTTAAGTGCTCAGGAGAAATTCGGGCACTACTGAGAGATATCGTTTATCCTGTCACCAAGCGTGGATGTTGCACCCACTGTTGCACCTACGAACACTCCAAGTTTAACCTACAGCTTTGTGGTGCTGCTCAAAGAGAGCAGCTGGTGCCCGGTGCTCCTATGGCCTGGGGCTCCAGTGACCCCATGTCCCTGTGTCCCCACACCCCAGGGCCACTGCATCCCAGTGCCCCTGCATCATGGGACTCCAGCATCCCTGTGCCTTCATGTCCTGGGGCTCCTCCACATCCCAGAGCCCCTACATTCCAGGGCTCCAGCATCCCTGTACCCTCTTCCCCTATGTCCCTGCATCCTGGTGCCACCATGCCCTGATGTCCCACGTCCTGGTGCCCCCCTTCCCAAGGCTCCCGCAGCAGCACACCTTGAGCCCTGGCAGGCACCGCCCAGCCAGGTGCCAGCGTGTGCCCTCAGCCCCTGCATTTCACACTCAGCATTTGACCGACACTTTGCAGTGTGGGGCAAGAGCAGTGATGGGGCTGCCAGGTATTGGTGTAATTATCTAAGGTAAAAGCAATCAGCTTCCCATAAATTAAGGAGCACTGCGCAGGAGCGAGGGCCGCCCACCCGAAGGGACTGAGCCACATTGCCCTACATTTTCAGAAACATCCATGGATCTTGAGTACCTCCGCTCACCCGGGACCGAGTGCCTCCCAGCCGAAGCCCTCCTGGCTCAGCAGCCGTGCCTGCAAGAGCTATTTTGGGGTGGCCAACTATTTCCAGCTCAGGGATTATATTTTTATTGGGGGGTGGGGGCAGCATGTGCATGTTCTTTCCAGCAGGGACTAATGAACGAGGTGGGAACGAGCAGATGTGTGCAGGGCTGGGAGGTCAGGCCCAATGGAGAAATGCTCCCTTTCATGCTCTGCTGCCGACCCCTGTAAAATGGGACATAATCCCCTTTACTGGGTTTGCTTTGCCACGAAGTGCTGAACTCTGGTTCAGCAGCAGGGCAGGCTCTGCTACTCCAAGCGGGCAGGGAACACCCCAACTGCTCCAGCCAGGAGAGGGACTGACCTGACCCTGCCCCAGCAGGGTGAGCGGCACCAACCTGCAAAGGAAATGGAGGGGGGGATTAAAGAGCAGTCTTTTTCTCACCCCTCTGAGCTTCCTTTAGATTTTAGCTATTTCTCGTAATAATCACCGGGAAATTACTAGTCAGGAGTGCAGTTCCTGCCCTTTAATCTCTCTGGCTGCAGTGCAGAATTTTAAAGGGGTTCCAGAATGAACAGGCACAAGACAGATATTGCTGATGGACAGAGGGAACTTCAGTGCAGCTGCTTATGGCTCACAAAGAAATTAGGATTTCTATACATTAAAAGGAAATCTCTGCTGTTATCCCTTCAATCAGCGAACATTACAGCTCAAATGGCTTTGGGAAGACTTTATCGGTACATTATCTTTCTGGCCTCTCCCAGAGCCAAGGCTGGGTCCAGGCAGGTGCCCAGTTTTGCTGTTTCTCTGCACCCGCTGCTGTCAGGGAGCAAAAGCCATACCCATGGCACCAGGGATGCACCAGGGGCACGTTCAGTGCCCATGCCCATGGGTGACAAACCAGGACCCGAATCCTGCTCTGTGGCTGGCACGTGACAGCACCCATCCCCAAAGGTGCCGTCCCAGCCCTGATCCCAGACTTTTCTCCACCCCAAGGAGAGTTTGCAGGTTTGCCCTCTGCTCTCCTTCTCTCCGACCTCTAATGTTCATGCTAAAAATCCAAACTCCCAGTGGACTTTGGGAAGCAGCTAATGAACTGAGAAGCTGACATCTGTAACTGCCGGTCAGGGGTAATGTTCTCCCAGGCTGCACAATTAAAAGTTGGAGCATTTATTCCAATAACAAGGAAAGTTACTGCTATTGGTACAAACCAGCCCAAATTCTCCACAGTGGCTCTGTAGACAGACCACATCTGTCCATGTACTCACATGGCACCGCCTCTCATTAGCAGGTTTCAGCCTCACCAATTGCCTTTCAATTTTGGCAACTCTTGTCTCAGATCAGACACTGAGATGCAGAGTTTGTTAAGATCAGCATTTTTAAGGTCAAGGTGACGTGAGACCCCAAATCCCCATGAAGAACCATGGCTCCTGAGAGCCCGATTTCTGAAATGGAGAGATCTTGGGCTCCTAAACCAGCTAGGAGGGTTTGGGAATGCTATGGCAGGTAAGCAGGCTGGCAGCCGAGCTCAGGGCAGGTCCTAATTGCCCAGGCTGCAGCCCAGTGCTCTGGCTGTTTGGACATCCCATCTCTGCCATGCAGCGATGCTAAGGGGCTGCGTCCACCTTGCACTGCCTGGAGAACATGTTCATCTCTCTGGTGCTGGAGAAATCTGCATTTATGTTTTGTATGCTCTATAAATTCAATGTCATAATAAAAAAGGATCTAAATCTTTACTGAATAATTCATTTTCACACATAGGGAAGAAATAATGACCTATATTATGTTCCATCTATCATTCAGTGAGTTGTGGAGATGGATTGGCCGGTGGGGTTTGGAAGTCCCTGGTGAGGAGCAGCGCTCTGTGGACTGGTCTGTCTGCTGCCCAGATGTAGCTTCACCTGACAAACATTATTTAGACAGAATTACAGGGGGTGATACACTGGGGAGCTGCCAGGAAATCAAAGATCATTTAAAATGCAGAATATGTCATTGCAAACAATTGGTCTTCCTGATGCATCTGTGCCTTTGGTGTTACCCCAGTGTCTGTAGCACAGTGCAGAGACACTGGGAGATGGGCTGTGGCAACCCTGTCTTGGAGAAGATACAGCACGGAGGAGGAAAGAGATGTCTTTGGAGTCCGTGGTTTCAGACCAGGCAGGAGGGTCAGGGCTGTCCAGATACCCTCCACATCTCCAGAAAGCTGGGCAAAGACTTTCTATGTGTGTCTGGGATTCATAGTGGAGGACAGCCTTTAAAGTGCTCAGCACCCAACAGCTTCATTGTGACGTTTGTAGACAAAATTTCAACAGAGCACAGACTTGGTGGGTTGGATATTTTTGGTTTTGTTTTATTTTAGGCTGTCTGTCCACTAACATCCCCCTGCATTTCCTCATGGTGAGCTCTACACCTCTTCCCAGGTTGCCAGTCCCTCCCTTTGTTTCCAGCTGCTCCATCATCTGAAAGGAAACCACCAAACCCAACACCAAGCCCTGCCCACGCCCGGCATTCACAGAGCCCAGAGCCAGGCACTGTCTCAGGAAAACAAACAAAAAACACTCGAGTTTGGGAGTTACTTAAAAACACGGAAGCCAGCCCCTAAACTGGAACAGGTTATCCCAGAAACAGTAATTTTAGGGAAGCAGCACTGGTTCACACCTGTTTCAAATGTGCCTCTCTATTTTGGGTAGACACTGAAGTTTTTCCTGGTCAAGTTCCAGATCTGCATTTTCATTTCAGCATTTGCTAATGAAGATGTTACACTGACCTTATTAAAAATGTCAGGATTTTCATCTTAACTGAGAAAACAGCATTTTTTTCAACTGTTTCAAAAGAAGAATAAAACCCAAATATTATCAAGCCCATCTTTCATATGATAAGGGAGGAGGGGGAAGCTCTGTGAGAAAAGATTTCAAAGCCTGCTTTGTTTTCATCAGCTTTGAAATCAACAGACAGCCCTGAGAATTTTGTTTTTCAGAACCACAGTGTTTAATTCTATTTACTACTTCCAGGCAATTCTATATATACACACACTGAAAAACCCAAGCAGCTCACTTTAAACAAATCCTCCTGCTTTTTTCAGATGTGTCATTCCTCCTGCGGGTAGGATTGCAGGATACAGATCAATTAAGCTAAAACCAAAAACAAACCGGGGAGGAGAGGCAGGGGAGGAGGAGGGTTAGTGCTGTCCCCGGGCAGTTCTCCCTGCTGGATCTGGCTCGGGTGACTGTCCTGTGGACACCCTGGCTTCATCTGAAGGAGGGCTTTAGTGGGGACTTTTCCAAGGACCCTTCCCCAGCTGCATTACCTGATAGAGCAGCTGGAAATCCATTCTCCCACTCCTGTGCTTGGACATATCAAGCACCCCAAGTTACCCCTTGCATTGTCTCTCGGTCTGGGGTAGACAGAGTTATGCCAGGAATCCCATTTTCTTCCCTCTCCCAAAACCAGGCTGTCTAACTTATTTCTCTACCTGATTAATTTTTACCAAAGGCCTTTAAGAGCCACTGATAAACTGCTCCCAAAGTCCAAACTAATATTATTAACTATGAATCTTCTCCTATAAATAATTCCCAGAAGTAGATCAATGCTACCACTGAGTCAATGGATTCACTGGAATCATTTCTTCCTGTTACTCCTGGATTTTTTTTCTCTGTTG